CCTGGGGGACCCCACCCGCGGGAGGCAGCCCCTCGGTCCTCAGCAGGTACAGTCCGCGCCGTGTCTCCCCGGTAGAAACCAGGCGTAACAGGAGGTGTGTGTAAACCTCTGCCTGGGAAACTTCTCGGGCTGCTTCCTGCTCTATTAACCGGGTCTCTGTTGTAGCCCGAAGTCTCCCAGTTCTGTTAATCATAGGATCACAGAACGGTTTGGGTTGGAAGGGACCTCAAAGATCATCTAGTTACAACCTCGCTGCCATGGGCAGGGAAACCCTCCACTACACCAGGTTGCTCAAAGCCTCATCCAGCCTGGCCTTGAACACTTCCAGGGATGGGGCAGCCACAACTTCTCTGGGCAACCTGTTCCAGTGCCTCACCACCCTCAGAGTGAGGAAGTTCTTCCTTAGATCTAATCTAAATCTCCCCTCTTTAAGTTTAAAGCCATTGCCCCTTGTCCTGTCACTACACGCCCTTGTAAAAAGTCCCTCTCCAGCTTTCCTGTAGGCCCCTTTAGGTACTGGAAGGCCGGGATAAGATTACCACGGAGCCTTCTCTTCTCCAGGCTGAACAGCCCCAACTCTCTCAGCCTGTCTTCACAGGAGAATTAAGCCTAATGCTTGAAGCAGGGTGTAAAATGGAACATGCTTTGCAGGCATAGGCTTTACTAATAGCCTGGTTATAATGGGCGCTGTTTCTCTTGCTGGTCATTTATGTTGTCAAAGTAAAATTCATTTCTGAATGCTAGTAACAGTTGAGTGTTTTACCACTTCTAGCAAAAATGCTATTCTATGTGGAATAGTAACTTTGAGAGGAATTCTGACTGGAGCTCAGCAGTGCAGTTAGCGTTCATGCATACACGCTCGTTAAGTGGTGTGCGATAATAGATGAGTTCTTGTTAACCTCCTTCAGACAAGTCGCAGCCACTTCTGACTTCTCTTTGTGTGAAAAGTCAGTGATTACTTTTAGAAAAAGATGTTTAGTTCCTGTTCTGTTTTTCCTCTGTTTTGAGGGTGGTTTGTGGTTTGGTTTGTTTTTTTTTTCTAGTGTCACATCTCTACTTCCAAGTATACTTCAACAGCCAGCGAGGACTCTCACTTACTGTAGCTTACGGAACGGAAAGAGGAAAACCGTGAAAGCTGTGGTCGATAGGTTTCTCCGGCTGCACAATGGCCTTTGGGTTAGGAGACAGGTAAAACTTCTTTGGTAACGTGTCTTCTTTGCAGTCAGTGGGCTAATTGTTTTCCTTCCATTAGAGGGCAGCAACTAGTACGGAAGTTAAAAAGAGCTCTGTAGAGAGACTCCCGTTTTCCTCAAGTGAGGAATTTGTCCTGGTTTGCTTACTTATCAGTATTGCTGAGTATGTGTATTTGCAGCGACCCACTTTTGTGTATTTCCTTGTGACAGGCTGGGTATAAGAAGAAACTATGGAAGAAGACAGCTGCCCGCAAGAAGCGTTTGAGAGAGCTGGTGCTGTGCACTAAAACACAATGTAAACTCCTTGATAAAATGACCACTTCTTTCTGGAAAAGAAGAAATTGGTATGTTGATGATCCCTACCAAAAGTACCACGATCGTACAAATCTTCGTGTGTAGAAATCTTCGTTTCGTTTTTGCATCCCTCTAGGAAAGAAGTGGTGGTATATGTGGTACGGTCTTCATTTTAGAATGTAAATCTGTAATACCTGTTACTTTTCTGAATAAACTTATGCATATCATCTGATCAGAATTATGGGTATCAATGCCCAAAATAAAGGAATGTTCAAGATTATTTTGAGCTGCAATTTGTATTTACTTAGTAGAGATCAAGCTTGTCACCTACGTGTTCTGACGTCCCTTGGTTTCCCGTGATTGCATATAACGTATGTACCATGGATGAATACAGTCTAAACATCACTAAAAAATTTTAAGATCAAATACGTGGAATTATTCACTTCTAAAGAAACGTGTTTAAATAACCTCGGGATACGTTTTGCTGTGTCCATACTTACTGGTAGCTCACTGAACGGAGTCTTTCTTGGGGAAGGGGAGAGAGGAGAGCAGGGTCTGTTTCAGTATTGTTGCCTGTCATGGTACCACGTAAACATGTTGCCATGTCTCCATGCTAGAGAGCATAGAAAAAAAAACGGTGTTTCGTGGCTACATGCAGTATTTATACCCGATTTAAAAATGCATTAGCCACCAAATTGCATTACAAGATGCACGTCTTGTATCTCGTGTTGGTGTTTGAGTAGTAGAATGTATTCTTTGGGTCCTACACTGCATCCTCAGGCAGTCCATTCTGAGTGTTTTCTTGCTTATTCTTTCATTAAGCCTAATGATACCTCACTCTGCATGTCTCTGATCACACGTATATATGGAACAAACCCAAGGATTTATCGCAGGGTCCTTTTGGAGTGTACGATGCACCTAGTCTCTGGTTTCGCTAAGGGCTAGATCCGACGCTTTCTCTGCAAAGCTGATACTCCAGCAAGTGTATGAAAAGGAGTTGCTTCTAGCAGTAGCTCTTTAACATTCACAAATAATTAACCCGTTATTAAGCAGATAGTCCCTGCTTATCAGCTCCCGAGCCACCTGTATAGTGAGAGATGGTTTGCTGTACAATGAATTCACTAGTTACTCAGCGTGTTCAGTAGCTGTATTTTGTTTTTCCAGTTCATAATACAGAAAGAAATTCTGAAGGACATGCAGCACTTAGTGAATACATCTATATACAGACAGCCAGAATTGAGATAAAAATAATACAGCAATCAAAGTAATTATTCTGGCCTGCCAGATACATTGAAAAGACTAAAGATGTTTTCTTCTTTTTTTTTCTTTTTTTTTTTTTTAAAGAAAAGATTAAGACTTTATTCAAGGTGTGTATCAAGCAGTATAACAAAACCAGCAAAACATCAACCTTTGGAATACTGTTGTAATGGCCATCCTTGTGAGGCATTAAGTGTACCATTGCATCACAGATCTTGTCTACCAAACACAGGAAAGAAACCACATGAAGTGCACAATTATGATCCTTAAATAGTTTGTCTAAACGCAAATCCCAACGTGGTGTTCTCTGCTATCTCAAATACGGTGTTAGATGCAAAACGCGCACCCGAAACAAACAGCAAAAAGGAGACTGTGATTAACGAGCATTCGGTCACAAGTACAAGGGTTTCATCACGACATGAGAACGCTTCAGAGAGCAGTCAGAGGCCGCAGGTTGTTTACATGAGGCTAAGGAGCATCGTATCCATCCAAGCAGCTTTCTCCCTCTCATTAGGGATAAATAACCCGATTCTCCTTTCTTTCCATGCTGGGTTTGCACACAATCAATTTAGATTAGCGTGGGATTCATTCCAAGGTGACAGTCTGTCACCAAGTCTGTCTTGTCTGTATTTGATGTGATCCTGATTCAGCAATTGATGACGGCTGGGACTGTGCAGACACTGGCCCCTACGACAAGAAAGGAAGCATGGAGGACTGCACTGAGCTGCTCTAAGCTTATTCTGCACATAACTAAGGTGAATTTATGCTAAATGGGTGAGGTAATTCACAGGCCCCTTTTCCGTGGACCATCTTCAGCTGCCAGTTTCCTTCCCCTCAGCCTCAATTTTACTTGTTTTAAATACTGCCTGTTTCACTTGAGCCTTGTGCTGTATTTTCTAGGGCTGGGCTGCTCCTTTCAGGGTTATGCTTTCCAAGCCACCTCCGTGAAGTCAGGAGGTGCCTGCCTGCCCTGCAGGACTGCGGCCAGCTGCCTGACAGGCCCCGATAACTGGGCTTTTCTTACTTAAGCCAGATCTGTTGCTAGTTTAAACAATATCATAGAATGGTTAGGGTTGGAAGGGACCTCAAAGGTCAGCTGAAAGATTGCTTGCTTTTAGGAGGAGTAATGTGCAAGCTGTTGGCTAGCTTGCACCCTCGGAGCCTGAACTGGGAGGAAGCTAAGACTTGCTCCCCATCACCACACGTCCAAGAGGCCACCACCATCGAATCATAGAATCATAGAATGGTTTGGGTTGGAAGGGACCTCAAAGATCATCTAGTTCCAACACCCCTGCCATCCCTCCATGCATCTTCTCTTGGCTCGAGTCCTGCAAACTCTCGTTTGCCAGGAGGGGTCAGCATCAGCCCAGGAAGGCAACTCGCTGAATCGGGCTCATTCCTTGGCAGAGGTTCAAGAGAAAAACTGGAACAAAAGGCTTCATGGCTGATGTTTATTCTGAAGGAAGTAGCCAAAGAGTGAAATGAAAGTGATATTCTTGGGGCAGCACCTGTAAACAACCTGTGTGTGGAAGATGAGGAATCAAAAGCAAACGACCGTTCTCTTCTGTCTACAGAACACTACAGCACTAAGTGTACGTGGTTGGGCATTCACATTTCTTGGCTATTATACACAATTATATACAGCTTGGTTGATAAATTAATACATTTCTGCCAGAGATATGAAAAGGTTTATTTTTCCCATTTATACAGTGAATGTTTTGAGAGATATAAGGCAACTCCCTCGTCAACAATTTCACCTCAGCACTTAAGAAATGCTAAACAGTCAAGTTTACAGTAGAACAGCAGATTAGACGCACATTTAATAATTTTAGTGAGAACCGATGTTAATATAGCGTGTCTGAGAACAGAATTTTCAGACGTTATGTAGCTCTATGTTGTTGGGGTTTTTGGCGTAATCGAGTGCAAATTTGTCAGCTTCTTTTTCATCTTATGGCAGCCCATTGCATAGCAGGGAAACATAGCTTGCTTGCAACAGGATTTTATTTTCTGCTAACACTGCAGGCAGTTTGTCTATTTTGTTTTTAATGCTTGCCAAAAGAAATCAAATAAACTCTAAAGCTGCTTAAAACTAAAACACACAAGCTTAGCTCCTCAAAGCTTTTGCGGAGTATCTTCCAAGGACTAACTCTTCTGTAACTGCTCTTTAGACAGGTTCGTTAGGGTTTTTTTCAATTTACGTTCTGAAGACTTTTTCCTTCTTACCCATTGCAAAATACGGTTGCATTAGCACATGTAAAGGAAACAAAATTTTCAGTTAATGAGGCCAAATCTTGTGGCAGACACAGGAAATACCTGCTTGCCTTTTCCACTTCCTAGCCAGGTCAGATAAACATTTGTGCGTGTGCGTACTTTATTTCTCTCTTTCCCACATATGTAGGAAGCTCTGGGGGAAACCTCAGGGATCCATCAGACGGGGACAGCTGGGATATCGATGCATATCCGGCAGAGAAAAGGTTTCAAAGGCCACTGCAGATTTATCTCTGAGCCTGATACACTCCAGCCGGCTGCTGGCATCCTGGACTGCTGCACCTGAACTAGGTTAACAGCACTGTTCATCATCAAGCCCGTGTACTGACCCATCAGTGATGGCACATTCTATGTAATGCTAAATGTTTTTCTAGTCTACGTGACAGGCCCAAGACCAAACACCAAGGGCCACGTAATTAACTTATGTGTGAATCTCACATGCTCAACACTTACAAGAGACACCAACTTGAAGCACAAATACACAAATCGTACTACGTCTTCCTCCTCTTTTGTATTCCTCATTTACATATGGATACAAATACACCACTCCATCTGGTTCTTGTGGTTCTGGCCAAACTCCATGCTAGAGGTGAAACTCCAAGCAGCTCAGACCCACCGTCCTGCTCTGCTCATGCAAGTAAAACAGCAGCACCTTGTGAGGAAAGCAGAGCACTGGGACTCACACTGTTGCAAGCAGGGCAGAAAGGTGCGTTTTCCCCCTGGAAGCGCATCACTAAAGCGATTCTAACTTCTGTGGCTGCAGCTAGTACAAGCCTGGCTTGCTCACACTGGCAGTGGAACATTTGCCACAAGCGATAGGGTCTAGTTCTTCTAGCCGCCATCATCTTCCACACAATACTCTCCTGGCTCAGGCTGATCAAAATTAAGACTCCCCCTTCATTACATCGTTGAAACCATTTATTTTCTCTTGCACATCTCTTTCTCGTCCTCTGTAAGTGGTTCTGTCACTATGGTTTTTAGCATAATGATTTTCTCAGAATACAGGTGATTTACTTGTAGAAAGAGAAACAGTTGCAGCTCAGCTTTCGCTAATGAATCTTGGACATTTTGTATAGTCAGAGTACTTTGACATTTGTTACATCATTCACAGTCTTGAGGAGGAAGGAAGGGAAGAGAAATCCATGGCTTCTGCAAATCCACTTCATTAACGATAAAGCCATTAATAAACACACTGTCAATGTATCATCGTGAGCAACTGATTATTTTTGTTTTCGCTGTGCATTCACAGAGCTAGAGCTATGCAGACACAAATGAGAACTGTCAAGGTACAGCCTTACGGGATTAGCGTGAGTGGGTGTACACTCTGCAAACGAAACACGGACTCTTAACCTGCAGGTGTCTGCCAGACTGTCCTACCCACGTCACAGACAAACGCAAGAAGCGTGTAACAGAAGGATACAGAGAGAGGAGAGAGAAAGGTCATGTCTACAGTGCTGTACATCAAAGCACATCCATCCCACCGCTGTTTCCTACATTATTAACGAGTAGCTCTTTAAGGCAGAAGAGAAACATTCTGTGGATCTTGGTGCTATTGGCTCATTGCACTCACATTGTTTCAG